TCGGTCACACCGTTTCGAGACATCTTTATTTGTTTCCAGCGTTGCGCGCCAAACGGCTGAGGACGCGCATCCTGGAATGACACGAAGCCGATGACAGGTAGGCAATGTCACCAGCAATGCGGCATCGTCCCTGGCCGAAGAGTGATCAGCCCGATCAGGGCAATCTGCAGTCCTCAGCATCATCTGCATGTTTACAACTCATCAGCCTGCATAGCTGGACATTGCTGCACCTCTTGCAGATTCGCCGTCTTATGCTTCCCACGTGCGCACCCGCAAGCTGACCGGCCGCATTTCGACCGGCCCAGGCCCCCATACCGCACTCGACCCCTTCATCAAACATCCCGGACGACTTCGCCTCAATTCCGGACCTCTCCGTTGAGAAATGAGAAACGCGAACCTAGGCGGCCGTTCTAAACTCTATTTGAAGGCTCCGTTCGGGACTATGCCCGTTGAACAGCGATTGGTGATGCTGCTTAGCAGCAGCAAAGCACACTTGCCGACGACCGAACGAGACGAACTTCAGCCTGGTTTTTAGACTCATGACCACGCTTAGAGCCGGTCCAGCTAGTGCCAACTGAAAGAAGCTATTCAGAGGCCGTGGACTGCACATGGCTTTTCAGTCCCGATCCCATCGACACTTTCAGATGTGTGGTCTGATATGGAAAACGCTTCTCTATATTGCTTAAGTGACAAGGCTTGTCTTCCTGGAGCAAAGGCATATATGCCTAGCTACTGAATTGTCAAGTATGCACGTGCCTATGGGTGCCAACATCTGGGCAACGCGATCCGCAAGACGATGGCCACGTTGCTTCAAGATGGCATTGTTCCGGTGTTGTTGCCTGGATTTTCACCTAAGTCGGTCAAGGCTTTATGGTTCACTTTTTCAACTCTTATTGCTTACCCTTGCACAGACATCGTAGACAAGTGACGATCTTGTGACAAAGGAAGGATGCCGCCTTCCCCTAGAAAGGAGGAAGATAAAGGCTTTCGTCTCAGACAAAACATCACTTCCATCCTTCGACAATGAATGAAAGTCGCATTCATATGCCAAGAATGGGAGCTGTTATTGTTCCCGACTTAAATCAACCTCAATGCCATGCGCATCTATTGTTTGCCTGGTCAATGTTGAGGTCGACATTAGAGACCTTGTAATAATCTCTTTGTTCTAGGATTGCCATCAGGTGCCATCACCATGAAATTCCCATCCCTTCAAATCAATAGCAATGATAAACAGACCTTGCCTCAAAGATGATCTTTGCCAGCATCGTCGTCTTGTTCAACCTTTAATCTCACCTGCTGGCTTCCCTACTGCGTACTGGAGATTCTTTTAGGATTTACGCTCGCCCATACTTCTCAGCATGTCTTCCTTTCCAGCCACCGGAACACCCCCTCAAGCTCGCCTACCAAAGACACCATATGCCGACGCCTACCAGTCGCGTTACATTGAGGAGATTTTATGCCTAGGCGGTGGCAATGAAGACGCTCCCCATGGTGCATATGCCGGGTTGGATACCGAACTTCTGCGTCACGTCAACTGCGGCTATCTTTCAACACATGGACACGCGCCTACGCTGCTCGCCCTCAAGCAACATGCGCAAGCGCTGACTATCCTGATTGCCCAGCTTGCGCCGACATCGCAGTACGCAGAAGTTGACAATGAAAATAACAACAACGAGGGCCGCATCCAAAAGTCGTTTAGAGACAACGAGGCCTTTGACTGGCTCAACGACTTACAGAAAGGATACACAAACAACGATGAGTGGCACAACAAGCCCCTGACCGATCTCATGAACCTGGTCCAGCACGAGTCGGACACCCAGGGCATCGTCCACCACTGCCCTCTCCACGAATACAACGAAGATAAGGAGAAGCGAACCAAGCCTCGCCCCTACGCCACGCACACCGCCCTGGCCTCCCACGCAAACGAGTGTCTCGAGATGCTGGACCACGAGTACGGCGCCACGGGCGGCCTCCTCTCCCTCCTCCCGACTAACGAGGACCGCGACTCGGACGAGATGGCCGCCGTACGCAACAGCCTCCTGGGCCAGTGGCTCCTCTACACTCAGCACCTCGTGGCGCGCATGCACGACCTCGAGCTCGGCTACGCCAACGCGCTCGACGTCACCGCGGGCGAGGCCGCCGTGCCGATGCAGATGCTCTCGAGGATGGGACCGGACGCCGCTTCGGGCCGCGAGGTGGCGTATCCGCAGGACAAATGGATCCTCGCGAACGCGGGCGACGACGTCTTTGACTTTTTGCACCGCGTGTTGGACAGGCAGGAGGCGCAGATTGAGCAGAAGAGGGAGGTTTGGACGGCGAACGGGACGTACGGCGAGCGCATGTGGAACGAGCAGCGCGGCGGGGATCTCTACGCTCGCGGGCTGGTGTTTTACGACGTCACGACACGGTATTACAGGCTCGCGGGCAAGGGAAGCAAGAGCACCATCTTTGTCCTGCCGGCGCACGGGGAGCACCCTGCGGTGCAGCAGACACGGCGGCTGGAGGTGACGCCGACGGTGGTGTCGGTGGTGACGCCGACGTGGCCGGCGCGCGTGTCGGACTGGGAGAGCAAGTACAAGAGCCAGCTGGACGAGGCGACGCGGATGGAGATTCAGAATCACCGGTTGACGGATGCGGGCGAGGCGATGAAGGAGCACAACGAGTTCCTGGCGACGGAGCTCGATAAGGCGCGGTTCATGAATGAGCAGTTTGAAAAGTATTATGGGCGGTCTGAGGTGGCGGAGGGGCCGAGGCTGTTGGAGAGGGCGGTGTCTATTTTGCAGAGGGACGTCAAGGATAAGACGGATGAGATTGAGGGACTGTTGAATATGGTGAGGGAGGTGAGGGATAAGTTGCCGAATCAGTATGCGGGGTTGTTTGCTGAGTTGTTGGAGTTGAGTGAGGAGGCAGAGGGGGTTACGGCTGATGCGGGTGGTGAGGCGGTTGAGGAGGATGAGGTTTGAGTGATGGTTGGGTGGCGGAGTGTGTAGATGATTCAGGGACGGGGTTGTACAGGTGTGAGGTTTGATAGATGATTTTTTCTTGGACAGAGGGGGCTAGTGGTGATGCAAAGGCCGAGGACGGTGTAACTCATATGACAAGACAATCTGCCGTTTACTACACGACTGAGACACCCTCTTTTGAATCAGGTAGGTAAGGTATCATACTTGAGGTCTGATCCATCTCAAGCTGACCATAGGAGATTGGATTTTGGAAAAGATCACCCTTTGAGAGTGTCTTTCTATGTAATCACATTGTATCACTACTTGCCTTCTTGTCTTCATCATTGACTCATTGGGCTACCTTACTTGTAGTATGTTATCAAATGAACATAGGTTAGACATGAAAGCTCAGCTTCAAGAGAATCAGTGGTGATGGTGATATTAAAGGAAGACAGTTAGATATAAAATCTCTGGATATAATGACACGCAAATCATGATTTCACCTAGTTGGGTGTCTAGGTGACGCGGAGTCAGAACCGAGATGTAAGAGTCGCGCAGTCTGGAGGCTGGAGGTTGGACGGAGATGTCTTTTGTTTCCGCGGTGGTGTAGCTTCAAATGAGTTACCTTAGCCTGGTTGATGAGGCAATGTAAGACAAATGGTCGCACGTAAGGGGACCCTTGCATGATTCATACAACCACTATCTCGCATTGTCACGTTGAACATGTGATTGATGAAGGTTTTCCACCCGGACTCGAGTGACCATATCGCTCATTGTTTTGGGTAGTAGGTACGTATGCTGGAAGTAACAATAGTTCCATCGAGCATCAAGGGAAAGGTTCAAACACACATTTGAGAGATAAAACTGTCCGTCGGCCATTCGCGAATCACCGATGGCCCCCCCGTCGAACAAAGAACGGCAGCAGGGATGTACAATGCATCTAGTACTGATCAGGGATGGCGCACATCAGTCAGCAGGGGTCCGCCGTAGCCGAGACCCATCCCACCGAGCGGGGCGTTGCCCCAGACGACAGTCTGACAGTTTGCGCTGCCGCCGCCAAAACAAAACGCTCCAAAGCTTGGAAACACTCACATTCGCACTCACCCACGCACCCAGCGCACTTCCTACTTGCAGGCAACCCTTGACCGGTCTAGCATCCTCGATCGGGGCCGACCTGCCCGCGGGTTCCTCATGATGCCATACCGCGGACACTAATTGGCCCATCTGCCTATCATCCATCGGTGCTAAGCCTGCGGCGCAGATTGAAGACTTGGTTCTAGGCTTTCTGACCAGCCCCTCTTCTCCCGATCATCCTTGGCTTTCGGATTTCCCAAGTGCGCGCGGCCCCTTTGATAGACTTTCGGCGACTCGCCTCTCTGCCTTTCAGCCTTCGTCTCCCTCCCACCGGTGAACCGGTGCCAGTTGAACCCGCCGCGGTGCGCCGCCAAAACGACCCCTCCTCCGTTGCCCCCCTGCACATCGAAACCCGTTCGATTTGTTGACATCTTGCTTTTTGGTTCCCCTTCTCCCTAGTGTACAGAAACCTACCCTTGTCAAACTGCATCTGCACACCTGCACCAGGCCACCCCCCAACCCCTCGATTTGCTCGTCATCCAGATTAATTCCCATCGCCCTTGTCCGGGGTGTTTGTCTTTCTCCATCTCTGATCATCCTGACCCAGCTCTGGCCTCCTCTTTCCCGCATGCCCCGTGCTTTTCCTCCTCTATTCTTTCCTTGCCTATCACTTTTTTTCCGTTTGTCGACGTATTCCTCAAGGCCCATTTTCCGACCCGGCTAGCTAGTTGAGAGTGTCGAAGCGAGCAGGAGTGGCCAACGAAGAAGAAAAGAGGGAATGCCAGTCTACTGAGAAACAATTCGTTCTAGAGCCTGGACCTCTTCTCGACTTCACATCGCATCATCACCAGAAGGACAACGACGATCAAATAGACTGCGCAGAAGAGAGGGGGACAAAGAACATGAATTGACCACCGCTCAGCGGTTGGCGCATACATTTACACAAAAACCGGACCGCAAACGACAATTCTTTACGGAACGATCATGACCACAGTGGCCGGCCGGCGGGCCTCGTCGGGGCCAGAAGCAGCTATCCGCAAGACGACGACCTTTGCCGCCGCCGTGCTGCTCTTTACTTCCCTGGTCTCCGCGCAACAGACGTTCCCATACGTTCCGACGACAATCTTGCTCTCCTCCGCCTTGCCGGGATCATCAGGCAATAACAGCAACCACGGTCTCGCATACATCTTCCACCAGGGTAGTTCCGGCGTCGAGCTCCTGTCGGTAAACGCCTCGGCTACCGTTGACGGCCCCGCAAGCCTGCAGACGATATCGACGAGCTTGCCGTTCCTCGACGATGCGACCAAGACGACGGCTTTCCTCCCCACGATGGCGGACAATGGGACCATTGTGGTTCAGGCGGGGGATTGCAAAACGGCGGAGGGCTACGATATCTGGACATATACTCCAGGAGCGGCGGCAGGGTCTTCGGGATCCTGGTACAAGACGGCGGCGGCACTACCTAGCAGCGCGGACTCGGACGCAGGTCCGTATGCTCTCGGTGCAGGTATCAGCTTCTCGTCGACCCTCGCGCCGAGCATGTCCGAGCCCGTGCTGTATTCATTCGGCGGCATGTGTCTGGCGCCGACGACGGACGAATCTACGTGGCAAGGAAATGGGACATATACGAAATCCATGTTGAGAGTGGCCCCTTCAGACTCTGTGGCTTCGGGGTACTCCGCCAGCTTCATCTCTGGCAAGGGTCCCGCCTACGCTGAGGCGGGCTTCTCCTTCACGCCCCTGAGCCCGTCAATCTCAAACCGGTCCGGCATCGTCACGCAACAGAACCGCTACGTCTTACTCGGCGGCCACACCCAGCAGGCCTTTATCAACATGAGCTCCGCCGCCATCTGGAACCTACCAGAGGAGTCGTGGAACTTTGCGACAGTCAGCGCCACGCGCGTCGGAAGCAGCGAGCTCGCGGTCAAGGACGTCGAGAAGCGCGCGGGGACGGAGGTGGAGAGTCGGTCCGGGCACACGGCGGTGCTGAATGAAGATGGGACCGCGCTCATCATCTTGGGCGGCTGGGTTGGCAGTGTGTCTCAAGCTGCTTCCCCGCAGCTTGCGCTTCTCAAGATGGGTGACACGTATGGAGACTGGACATGGTCGATCCCATCCCAACAACCGGATGGTGGAATTTACGGCCATGGGGCAGCGATTTTGCCTGGCAATGTCATGATGGTTTACGGAGGATACGAAATCGCGACTTCAGGATCCAAGGCGAAGAGACAGTCAAGCGGGACCGGGCTCAGATTTCTGAACATGACTTCCATGGCATGGAGCTCGAGCTACACAAACCCAAATCATGCGACCTCGTCGAGTGGGTCCGATAGCTCCACCGGAAACGACAATATCAAGAAGATTGGACTGGGTGTCGGCCTCGGCGTCGGGCTTGCTGCTATTCTTGGCGCCTTTTTGGTTTACTATTGTTATAAGAGACATTTGAGGAAGAAGAAGGAGATGAGGGAGGAGACGATGCGCTCTCTAGCGCAAGATGCGACGCGATTCCTGCATCCAGAGGACGACATGATGGAGCGGGATGGCGGATCGGCCTACCCCTGGACGAGCCATTCTTGGTATACGGGAGGTCACGATCCTTACGAGACGATCGACAGATCGCTCGGCTACGAATCGCTAAGAACAGGCCATGGCCCGGGCAATAACCAAGGTGTTTATCAACAACCGCCCGGTCTACTCATTCCGCGCAAACCGATACCTCGCGCGGCAAGAGGCGCATACCAACCAGCGGCGAACCTTACTACTCCAGGTCACATCCACCCGATCTACGAAGCAGATGAAGATGACACCGAGCACGCCAACAGAAGAAAGGACCAGGAGCCCGCGACGCCTACCACGCCGGGGCACGCCGACCCGTTCATGACGCCGACGGGTTCCGTCCCGATCTTGACCCCAGGCAACCGCAACTCCATGACTCCCAGTCCGGAGGCCCTCCTGCGGCGCAATACGGAGGTGCAAGACTGGCAGTCGGATATTGACGCCACGGAAGCCCTCTTGGCTCGGATGCCATCCCGCCGCAACAGCCGCGTCTCTCCGACACGGCGCGCGTCGATGCGTTCGGCGCGTTCTATGGCTGATGACGAGCGGACGGCCAGCAACGTCTCCGAGTCGGCGCGGAGCGCTATCAGCGTTCCCACGCGCTCAGCATCTGCGAGACGAAATAGCACAGGCCCGAACAACCTAACCATCATTACCGATAACCGGGTAGGCACCTCTTCGTCGTCAAGCAGTAGCGGACACACATACTCCACCGCCAAGACAACCTTCAACGCCTTACAAGCTGAGGGCCCCTCACTGCTTCTCCAGGGCCAGCGGCTGCGCAATGAGCACGACGACGACGAAGAAGACTTTGTACACATCCCCAGCAGTCCCAGCAAGCACAAGCCCCGCCGGTCACTCGGGTGGCTCGGCAGCCTCCGGCGCGTCTTCAGCAGCGGCGTCAACAACAACTCGTCAGACTCGAGCGACCACGAGAGCCCACGGCGGTTATCCCTCGACCAAGTCAGCTCGGACTACGAGCCGCGGTTGGTCGGCCTATCCGGGATCGGCGGCGCCGAGCTCCTGCGCAGGAAGCAGGGCCGGCACGACTGGGACATTGACCAGAAGTCGCTCGACGAGTGGGATATCGAAAAGGCGATTGAGCAGCGGCTGGTGCAGGTCATGTTCACGGTGCCCAAGGAGCGGCTGCGGGTCGTCAACGCCGAGATTGAAAAGGAGGAGGAGGCGATCCTCGTGGACCCGGACAAAGACGAAATGGAGGGGCTCGACGGGTCGCATGCGGATCTGGAGAAGAGGGCCCTCGAGGAGGAATATAGGGATAAAGGCAAGGGCAAGGAGATTGCTCTTGAGCACGATGACGAAGAAGACTTAGGATCCCGTAGTAGGGGCGTGTTTGCGCGGAGACCCGAGTCGCCGAGCACGGGGTCGCCGGTGCGCGGACGGAGGTTATTACACCTGCCACCGCCAAAGGATGACTCTGGGGGTGGTGGTTCTTCTCATGATGGTCATGATCACGATCACCCGCTGCCGAGCCGGGAAGACTCTGCGGAGCCCCGGCCGTCGCTGACGCTGCGCACGGCCGAGGTTGTTAGCGTGGCGCGGCCGCGGACGAGGGTGCTCAAGATGGTGGAGAGCTTTGAGTCGCGGAGCAGGGAGACCAGTCCGTCGCTCGGCTAGGTGCCGGGCGATGATGATGATGATGATGATATCAAAGGACGTGGGCATCTTTCCCTGTTTGACTCGTTTTCTGCCGTTGGACCTGCTACTGCTGCATTGGCGGAGTCTAGGTCTGGTTCTTCCAGTGTCTGATTAGAGGCGCCAAAAGGGTTTTGGTCTGTTGGTCTTGAATCAGTCGTTGCCTTTGCCTGTTTCCCCCCTCCTGGTCTAAAGCGATATCTGGAGTTTTTTTTTCGAGGCGTTTTGGTTTTTTACTGGATATCAATCAACCCGCCGTTCGTTCCAAGGAATCTAGGAGAGAGAGAGAGGGGGGCCCCCCGGTCATCGGACCTGTGTATGTGTGCGTATGTGTGAAATGGGAAAAGGGGGGAACAACAATGTATGTATACATGGAAATATCTGGGAGTCTTTGGCCTTTTTCCCGTTCGGCGTGACGGGTGATTTGATCTTGAGGGGGGGGGGGGGGACACACAAATCATGGGAAATTTATTGGAGGCGAGGCAAATTTTGTGTATCTTGTGTTTAGTTTACAAACAGCGAATGTGAAAGCGTATCTCCTGTCGCTTCTGTCACAAACCAAATCGACTTTTTGATCTTGCATGGAGAAAATTGGGCAAGCGTGTGATGTACGTTTACAATACAACGAGTACCTTAGTCGACGAGCATCACGGCAGAGATATAATGACCAAATTGATAGCGTCAGGACCATTCAAGAGCATTTGTAAATCTGTGTGTTCATTCCCACCTAGCTAAATGATGTGGTATCTCGTTAAGGAAAACAAAAAAAAAAACGCCGATTTTTCCTATGCATGGCTTGCCACCTTGAAATCCTCCCCCCAAAAATGGCCAAACGAACCCTTCAACCTCATAGTCATGAAAGGGTTTCAGCAGTTTCTCTTAGACCGCTGGCTATTATCCAACATATAGTGTAAACTGTCGCCATCCGTAGACTTTTGTTCAAGAAAAAAAAATCTTATATACATGGCTCGGCCTAAAAGGCCTGACCAGGCCCCGGCTGTTGCTCGTGAGTCTGATTTCCGTACGGGTGATTGGCATGCGGTGGTTGTTGGTTGCCAAACGCCTGGTTTTGGTATGCCTGCTGCTGAAGGGCGGGATGTCCGTAGGCGCCGTTCATCGGCGATCCAAGGACGGGACTCTCTGGCATGATGGAGGCGGCTGCTGGGCTTTGTGGTGGTCCCCAGAGCGCTTCTCCGACTCTTTGCTGCGTCAAGTCGCGGGGACCTGCGACACCCAGATTTGCTGGTGCTGCCGGCCCCGTTCTCCCCCATTCGCCATTGCTAGGCCCTGAGTGTGCCGGGTGCACTGGCGTCATGCCTGTCTGCTGCTGGAAGCTCTGGTCCTGGTACGGCGAGATTGGCGACATGGGCGACAAGGGGGACACCGGGCGCGCGGGACGGCGTGGTGGAGACATCTGCGAAGGGTTCGGTTGAGCGTGGGCGATAAGGCTGTCGCTCTCATTACCAGGGCGCTGGGGTCGTGGAGGCGGTCGGGAGGGTTGCAGATATGTGCTGCGGCGGAATTCGGTTGCGATTGGAAGGTGATCGGTGCTCTTGACACCGGCGGGATGGTACGCCGTGTCTCCTCCCTTGTCGAGGTCGTCCATATCAAGGCTGGCTGCGGTCTTGTAGCTGGGGTCCTCGTGGCGGCGCTTAACACCGCAGAGCAGCCAGCGCATACCACGACCAAAGGCCTTGACAAAATCCCAGAGGTTGAGAGCGTCTCCGACAGCCTTGAGACCCATCCATCCACCAGCGGGGGCGGTGTGCACGTTTTCGCGGAGGGGAGCGTGGCTGTCTCGAGAGTCTGCGGACGGGTAGTATGTGGTTTTGGCGCCTGGAACGTAAGGGGCGTAAGGGAAAGCCCAGAGATGGAGGAGGGCGAACAGGGCCATTTCGAAACACAGCAGCAGAGCAGGAATGCCGACTTTGATGTCCGGGTAGGCGAGGACTTTGTTCGGGTGGACAAGGTCGAGCGTTGAGGTGGCGAGGGAAATGCAGGTGACCTGCCAGAAAGAGAAGAAGACCACAAGCTTAATGGCAAGGACCTTGAGGAAGGGTGAGTGCTCCTTAAGGGGTTCTCTCATCTGGACGTAAAACTGAATGACGGAGTACATGGCAATAGTGACAGCCACACAGTTGATCGAGATGACCTGTTTCTGTTAGTCAAGGCATCCGCATGGCTTAAGGGGGCGAAGAAGAGCATACCCAGATGTGAGCAAAGACTGGGTTATTGGAGCTCTCGCAGTAACGGTGGAAGTATTGCGTAACGACGGCCGTGACAGTCATGGCGACGCGGATAAAGACGTAGTGATATACACCAATCCAGATGACGTTGAACCATGTCAAGCCGCTTTTGGGCGTGCGCCAGGGTCCCCGCTGTCCTCCACAGCACTTTGCAAACCAATCGAGAGGCCAGACCCAAGGCTTGATGGGGTAGAGATTGCGGAAGTAGTCCTTCTGGGTATGGACATCTGGGGCGAGGTAGTGGCACATGAGCGAGAAGAAGGATGCGATGGCGAAAGCCTCGTAGCAGTCGCTCATGAGCTGGAAGTAGACCGCGTGCCAGTAGTACCAGAGTTGAAGAAAGGAGGAGGCGGCGTAGACGGGGACCATGAAGAGAATGCGGATGATCTGACGCTGCTCGCGAGGCTTGGTGTAGTTGATGGAGTGCATGAAGACGAGGTAGAAGGAGAGGCATATTGCGATGATGGTGCAGGAGCCGGCGATGATTAGGGCGAGGTCGTGGAAGGTCAGGGGACCAGCGATGAGGATTTCGGAGCCCGGGAGAACTTAGGAGAGAGAAGAGGGCGTGTTAGCTTTCTTGCACGATGCCAATGGCTCACGAGATTTGGGTTAGGGGTTTTCAGGGTCGAGTGACATACTCCTCAGCTCCTCGAGCGTTGAATTACACGTTAAATTCATGGCGACGACAACTCAGCACCGTGCCGAGGATGACCTCCGGAGTACGGGGTATCGTGTACGGAACGGAAGGCCCGGAGAGTACGGCAGCGCGGTATGGGAAGAATACAAGCGGCGTGGAACGGAGCAGACGATGACGATGTCGGTGTGGATGAGGGCGGTGGGTTGGGGTTTAACGGTTGTGCCAAGACTGGTGCGCTGCAGGAACAGAGCGGGTGCCGGTCTTGGCAGAGCTTGGTCGCCTCGTGGCTCTGGACTGCGTTCGGGGCGGGTCGCGTGGTCGCAAACGGGTTCGAAGAGGAGAGAAAAAAAGGTCGGTTTTCGAATTTAAGACGACGGAGTCTTATTCCGGGATAACTTGCTCGTTATAATTCTACCGGTTTAAAGTGACCTTCTCCCTTCAATTCGCGCCGTGTCTCTCCCTCTGAGACGAGTATGTTTGTGGGTTTCTGTGGGTGCTAGAGGATCGTGGTCGAGTGGTTCAAAGGGGATGTCTTTCCCCAGTCCGCGCCCAGTAATGTAGTCGCACGTCGATCCTCCTCTTGCCAGATTCCACAAAAATATTAACGATCCGTCGCGCAATTACAGCTGGGGGTTTTCCTTTTCGTCGATGGTCTGGGTTCGGGGTATCGTGTCGGTTTTCGTTATCAGGAGTGTGACGTTGAATAAAATACAGTGTGGTATGAAGAAGGTAGTTGGGCCAATCGATGGAGGATTCCCGCGGCCAAGAAACAGAAAAAAAAAAAAAAGCAAGGTAGAATCAGAAGAGTAGACAGACGCGCACCAAGGAGACGGCCGTTGTGGTGAAGGGTTTGGAAGGAGGGAAGAAGAATGACGAAAGCGCAAACTTGGAGGAGGGGGGGAAATTGGCGAGAGACATACAAACCCGTCACTCAGGACTCAGGAGGTAAGCAAGCAACGGGCACCTGCTTCCTTCCTCCAGCTGTAGGAGGTACCTACTCCGTAACTTGGTAAGGGACCAGGGGTTCCGGGTACCTCGAGGTGCATTACCTAAGGTAAGGTGTGGGTGCTAAGGCAATGGAAAGAGTCCGGGGCCGTTGGCCAAGTGGCTGAGTGCCAAGGGTCGACGACGGAGCGGACGCGCTAAGATTACAGGGCCGCTGACGACGGCGGCATCCAGTCAGCAGCGAGATCCCTCCCGCCTCCGGGACAACGCAGCGCCGCCCTTCAGGGGTTTCCCCTTCACATGGCCCTCTTCGTCTCGACTTTTGGGCTGCTCAGCCGTACCAAGTACGCAGTACGCAGTCCGTGGCGCGTGTGTAACAGCATCATTGTTCAAATCCACCTCACCAAAACTCCATTGTCCAACATCGGATGCTCAATGCAAAAGAGCGTCACTGCCTTGCTGTGCTCAGTGCCGATTACCGAAGACATCTATTTGCAGCATCGTTTGGCATCGTTTGCCTTACCTAAGGTAACATCTACGCCACACTTTTGACGTAGCGAATTCAACATTTTCAGAGTATCCATCCGTACGTCGTATGGGCAAATGTGAACGCGTCACTCGTACGGGGCAATCTCATTACCATCTCTTATTTCAATCTTTTTTTTCTCTCTCCCCGTACGGAGCACTGCGACGGGCTATGAACAGGGATCCAATGCCAAACAGCCGAGCTCCCTCCCCTGGGCCCCTTCCTCAAATCTTGTCCCTCCCGCGCGGCGTTTTAGAATTTGGAAACGAAGGAGAGCAGATTAAAAAAAAAATAAAAAAAAAAAGATTCAATCCCTACTTATTAGGCGACCTAAGACTCGAAGGCTTGAGCGAATAGCACAACAAGACCGACTCCCACTGGCTCTTTAAATTCCCGATATGACCTCCGCGGGATGGGATGTGCAGCGGGTGCGCACGCACAGCGGCACGATGGATTTCGCCCGCCATGCACTGATGATGCAGGGACTCGATCAACCTCGAGCACACTCGTTCAACGTCATTCTTTTCGTCCCAGCAATGCTTCTCGTCTCCTGCACAGCAAAACTCTCTCTCTCCGTCCCTCTCGCCGCCGCCGGCGGCTGATCAAACACACGGCCCATCGCAATGAGACGAACACCGGACGGACTGACAGATGCGACGTCACAGGCCTCCCAAAGAAACGGGGGGAAACCCGATGCACGAAAAAAAGAGACTTCATATTTTCCACTACTCCGTGTTTACAGGCTACGTAAAATCATCATCGCGAATTCTGCCTCACTCCATACTATGTATTAATTACCGCGGCTCCGGGACCACGACGACGAGGCAGAAAAAGTCAATGCCATTGTGCCAAGCCCCCCCCCCCCCCCAATGTTCCATTTTTCGTTCCTGGAGACGCGACGACATCCCACTTTCCGCACATCCGCCGTACGGATAACCCGATGCAAGTTACCATCTCAAAAAAGCTGTCTGTTCTTGCCTATCAGAAAGAGGCTATTCCCACCTCGTCAGCCACAATTGAGGCGTGGTCGTCGTATACCATACAGCCCTGGTCGACATTACCGTGGTTCTCAGTCCCAGGCTTATCTCGTTTTGGCATTGGCTCTCCTTTCTATCAAAATTACGAGTCAAACCAACTTTATCTGTTCGTATTACTCGTATACAGAGAACCGACCACGTATTTCCTGTCACCAAACCTCCCCAGTCTCTTCTTCATAGGTAACATGAGGTACCCAACTATCCGTGCAGACACACAACAAACGCAGGCTGCCATTCATCATTCATGTGTTGTTCATTATCCTTTGTTTGCTTCGGTATGTATTCCCCCTTCCACTCTTACCTTGCCCATTTTCAATGTCTCTCACTCCCGAAACTCAATTTCAGGTGACTTTGTACCACCAACCTAAAACGCCCCCATCTCCAACAACAATCTCATTACTGTTCAGCCCCAAATGACTTTCCCCCCGTTCCCCCGTCATCTAGGTAGTTTTGTTTCGAAACATGCAGCCTTCCATCAATCCATCGATCCATCAATCAATCCCTCGCTCCCATGGTCGCTCGATGGAAGTATGCTTATCCCACTTAAACACGGACGCCTCAAAGCCGCCATCAAATACTCGGAGCAGTCCAAACACATTGTACTCGATTTCTCATCGTGAAATAGGGGGTCACGGAGGTGAGGGGGAGGAATAGTGCCACTATCGACGCCTCTTCTTCTTGGAAGCTCATCCCACCAAGGAACGCGTCCGATCAGTAGGAGACTAAAAGCTCCTAGTGCAGCCAATCCGCTCCAAATCCTGCATAGCTACTACCTATGTATGTATTTTGCGCATGACGCCAGTCCGTCCGCACTCGATTGAGCTTCATCTCAAACCTCCGATCCGAAATACTAGGAAAAGGGGGAAGATCTACGGTACTGAGGAACCAAGCTTTAACAACTTGACAGCAAGGCAAACCCACACAAAAACAACACATGGATCAATCAGATATGATTGAGATACTCAACTTGCCCAAGTCTCATCCCATTCTACAAGTTGCGGCTTGTGACGAAGAAAGCAGACGAAGGACGGACTTTGCCATCACCAATTCCGTCGGGGGGGGGGGGGTCAGCATAGCTCAGGCATGTGAAATGTATACCCACAATCTCCGAATCAATCACAACCCATCCATTCTCCATTCATTATAAGGTACCATACATCCCGAATCCAGATAATCAGATCATATCCACCCCGAAAAATCCGCTCCGCCTCGCGTTCAAATAAGACGCTAAGCTTTTCCGCAAAACACCCACCTAAAATCTAATGAAACAGCACCTAGGTAAACCATCTAATCACCTACACTACACCAATCGTGCCCAAAATCTGATTGCCGCCAAATTACCAATGACATCAACACACATACGCACAAACAAAACCCAACATGACAATTGACGCAAGAGATTTTATTCATGAAGGCTATGGAATTTCCAGAGCACCTAGCCCACCCCACATCCAAAAAGTTGCGATCGACAGCGCCCTGCTTCCGTCCGTCCCCCCCCCCCCCGGCCGTGGCCTATCCGTACCTCTTCCGACCCTCCATCTTCTTGCCTCTCTATAACACACTAACGACGGAGTACACAACTCGAAGTTTTCAGGTTTCCTTACAACGCACAAACAGAAATCCTCCCACCAACCTTGTCCTCCAACAGCAACGCTTTCTACGCGAACAATCACTAGCAGTAAAGAGTCTGAATCCCTGTGCCCTGTGCCCATTCGTGCCCATCAATGATTCATCCACCGTTGCAACGTCCACCCCCGTACTCCCGTATCCGATACGCACACGAGTCCCCGAGCCTTTTTCCTTGCCGGCCCCGGTCCGACCCAGCGAGAAGGACTCTTGGAGGGCGCCCAAGACAGCGGCGTCTGATTCCACGCGACAGTCGTGATTATCACATACTCATTGTACATCATATGGCGAAGACATGCATCATTTGTACGCGTTCGATTGTTATTATGATTGTCGCAACTAGCTATAGAACTTTTCTTTCGCTCCAGTGACCATCGTGCACAGTCTGCTGTTCGGTCGCCCAAGACATCCAGTGACAGGCTACACAGCCTGTAACCTCGACGTGAGGCCTCCATCTTGGGCTCAGCTTGACCAGCTTCGTGCAACCTCCGCAGTCCCGGGACATTCTATTACGTGTCGTGGATGCATCGTCACCCACAAGTTTGTGCTCATTGGAAAGAGGAACGGTGCCAAAATTGCTACCATTTGTAACCAATCTCATCGTCCATCCGTCGTCGACTTGTCCAAATCGTTTCGCTGCCGGCTCATGGCCCGCTCGTGTATGTACAAATGCCGCCGTCGTTATACCATAAGAATCGTAGCCCGACTCTCGTACCGGGAAAGAAGGGCTCTTCGTCTATGATCGCTTGGCTCGGCCTTGCAACGAAACCCGCCGATGTTGAGGTCCGCTTCTGGGCTGTGGACAATTCCCAAATCGCCAGTCGAAAGGGGAGGTAGAGAATTGAAATTATGGCAGCCAACGTCCTCTGCGTTCGTGTTGCCCATGTGATGTGTTCGTGTTCGTGCTCAGTGGCCTGATGCCCATAATGTACTGCGGCGGATGTCGATCCTGGCTGATCAACCTTATCACGCCTGGTGTGGCCGCGAGGGCCCCCCTATCCGGAATCCTTCTATGCAGGGTCGTGAAATGAATGGAAACGCCGTCCTGGTATCTCAAAAACGCAATGCGAAGACCGAAAATTGGTACCTGGACCGAATTCGTGTACGTCGTGAACGAGTGCATGGCATCTCGTTGTCTTGGTCCGCCCGATCGTTCCATCTACTTTCAAGTGTCAGGATCCGGGTTGGTCGCCCGCAAGACCGGTTGGTGAACTTTGCGGGAGTAATCTTGGTCGTCGCGTAGGGTGTTAATACTCTCTGCACTCTTGTTATGCACATAGAGACCTCTCGGGAGAGGGTCTAGGCGTGGGTCGTGAGCGAGAAGGCGGCTTCGGCGATGGTCGCTTGAGGCATCGGGATCCCATCGTCCTCCATCAACAGTGACAACCATTTCGGGGTTTCGTGGCGAGCCGGTCATACCAGCAGAACTACCACGGTGGCTGGGCTCGTCGTACTTGTCGTTCTCGTTCTGTTGTTGTCTCCGACGTCTGAAGAACAAGAAGAGTCCCAGTCCTGCGATGGCCACGACCGCGGCAATGACACCGACCACGATTCCAACAACAGCACCGGTGGTAGGTCCATTTGACGATGATTGGTTGCCGGGCGTCAGTTCGGAGGCACCTGTTGCTCCCTCGGTGCCCGTGGCAGTCGGCGTGACGAAGATGGTTCTCACGGTTCCGTCGGCTGTCACCGTTTGAACTGTCGATCTCGGTTTGCTGCTACTCGAGGTCTAAATTCTCAGTCAGCGTTTGCTTGTGTCAGTGACACACCCCCTCATTTGTCAAATGCAGGTTTACGGGCACGGCATGTTGTTGGGACTTTTTAGAGCATACAGATGTTGTTGACGTAGTCGTCGTTTCCGGATCGGGCGTGACTGTGTTCTGAATTGTCTCAGTTTTTACTGTTGTGATGACTTGTACGGTTGTTGCAGGCGGGGCCGGAGGGGCCTGGTTTCCAGACGATTAAGCCAAGGCATCACACGTGGTGGAGGTGAGACGATGGAGTCTGGGGATGAGGTTCGGGATCGTGTAGGGAATGTAGATCACGCAGAATCACGCACGCAATTCACGATACATGGCTGAGGGGATTGTACTCACTTGTGTAGTAGTGCTGGCTGCTGCCTTGGACGACGACGAGCTGTCACCTCCGCTGCCGGCGGTGCTGGTAGGAGTCTTCGCCAGCGTCAGGTATCCGTAGTAGTTGGGTCTTGAGCCGCAGTGCTCGATATCGTAGCCGGGACAGATATCGTTGCATTTGTCGCTCACTTCGGCTTCGCTGGACGCGGCCGGCGCGACATCAGAGCACCAGCAGGACTGCCACTGGACAATGGCAAAGGCGTAGTTCTTGTCTCGACAGAAGTCGGTGCATAGTCCGTTCGTCTGCCATGTGCTGAGATCTATTACAGAGATGAGTTAGCCATTGTATGCAAGGGTAGGGGAAGGCAAAGGCAGAGCTGGCCGAGGATGTTGAAAGTCTCAAATCAAGTAGCTTTGCCGTATCATGTCTCCACGGGGATGTTCCTACGTACTTGCGCTCATGGATGCCGTGTTCGTACTAGAGCAGAGGTTCTGCGTCAATTGTCGAGGCATAAGAATTTCGGGTTCTGGCGCAGCCTGTGCCATTGTCGCCCATGATGATAGCGCCAAGGCAAAGATGCCCAAGCATCTCGTCGTTCGTTCGGTGAAAGTCATGATAGATCCGTCTCGATAGACAATTGTACTGAGTGATTTTCAGTCAGTATAGACGTTCGGGATTGAGGGGAAAGAAGTGGTTTTAGGTTCACAAAATAACCTCGGGACCAATGGCTGGGCTTCTTAGGATTCTGGACTTACACTTGCTGGAGTCAGACGGTCACGGGGCTGACATCTGACGTCTGGATCGATCGGTGGGCGGGAGGAAAGGTTAAAAGGTGCTCCCAAAGGTAAGATGCTGTGCCTGTCCTACACGACCACGCAGGCAAGCGGGAGACCGCAGGAGTCGTTAACAAGAACCTTGACTGTCGTCCGCAGCTGGTCCGAATCTCGAGAATCGATTGTCGTTGCTTGGAACTGGAAGGGTGAAGGCCGCAAAATAGGTGCCGACTCGAACGAGGTTGAGGCCGGGAGGTGGGAGGAAGAGAATGGGAAGGCAAGTAGGCCGGACCGTGGCGTTTGGTACAAGATTTGTTGGCGCCAGGTGTGGATGGGGAAAGAGGGCGAGAGGGTTCGGATGTGAAAACCCAAGAGTGAACGCAGCGAATAATTACTGGCAGCCGAGAGCACCTAGCCGAGCACCGATGGACCAGTGACTGAGATGATTGCCCCTAGAGACAACTAGCGCGACGATTGAGGATAAGAATTGGGGACCTTTTGAGACAAGAGCAACAAGACGACCGGGTGCGCAAGAGTCCGAGTATAATTATGGTCCTCCCTCTTTTAATAATGAACAGCGTCCTTGTTTCCTCGATTAAGGTGTGGCCTGAGGGTAAGGGATGCGCAGGGTCTGTCAATCAGTCGGGGCTGATGCTGTCTTTGTCGTCCAGGAGGTTGTCGACCTTGCTGTGATGTGCTCGTGGTCCGAATGGTGGAGGGGAGGGGAGGAGAGTGAGGAGGAGGGAAGGAGGAGAAGGTGTGGAGGAAAGAGGTGAAGTGAGGGTGATGTTGGAGAAGTGGTGATGGTCAGGCAGCCCCGGGTAGAAAAGAAGCAGGCGCCAAGAGGAGGGAAGCGAAGGGAAGGAGGCAAGCCGCAAGAGCAGGGAAGAAAGTGGAACAAGCGAGCGAGCGAGGTGGAATTGGTGGTTGGTGCCGAGCAGCAGAAGCAGCAGAATGCAATTCGTAAGGTATTAACCGGTATCTGCAGCTACAACGGCATCGGCAGCAGGGCAAATGCAGCAGGCTAGCAGCGACAGTACTTTAGCTGGAGGAATAAGACCCAAGACCCAAGCAAGCAAGGGCCGGGAAGGGAAACGAGAGACTGGGTGCAGGTAAGAGCTGCAGTGGAGCGATCGTGGTGGTGTGTTCCCTCTCTGTACGAACACAGAGATTTGTGAGTTTCTCTCTCTCTCTCTCGCGCGCGCTTTTGCCGGGGGATGCTTGCTTCACCAAGTTCACCAACAGGGACAAAGAACGGGTGGGAACACTAGGAATACCTTAGTGTAGAGAGAGAAAAAAGTTGACGATAGTGACGAAAAAAAAGGATGAGGGAAACGAATGGAGTCTAGCCAGGCAGGCACACCGTAGGCTGAAGAAGAACGGGCAAGGAAGAAGAGAGAAGGAGAGAAGATTCCAACATCGAAGAAGACGGTGGATCGAGGAAGAGGAGTTACAGGTAAAGAGGCAGAAGCCAGGTCACGGCTGCAGGTTGTTTTCTGAGAGCGAGAAAAGGTAGGGATTGGGTATGGGGAGGGGGGGGGGGCGTGTCACGGTGGCTACGGATACCGTGGAAGATCATGAATTGGGAGTATCAGTAGAAACTTAGAATGGCACAATTGGGAAATCCGAGGAGGACGAGGGGGGGCGGGGGCCAGGAGGATTAGACGCTAGAGACAAGACGGTGATGGAGTGGATTTCTTGGGATGATGGGATGGCAACTGTCCGTGTGGAAGACGAATGAGGCGAGCACGAGCCGAGCAACGACCACCCAAAGCCAAGAACGACGCACGCAGCAGCAGCGGCAGCAGCAACAGTCACTGGCAGCACCTGCCAGCAGCACCAGGAAAGTTGCAACATTGGAAAGGGAAGGAAAGCCTACGCAGTAATCTAATGGGCGGGTGGTTGGAACTTGCAGTTGGAAGGAGAGAAAAATAAAGAAAAAGTGGATTTGACGTGACTGGAGTGGGGCCGTCAAACCAGGACCAGGCAGGAAGGACACGACCCCATTTGATTGTGACCAGGACCAGGAAGGAACCAGGACGGGGGTGGGTGGTTCTTGCATCCACAGTCCACAGTCCACAGTCCATACATCTCTCCTCACCTCAGCTCACCTCGATCACGTTCTCTGGGCGCTCTCTGAGCGCTCTCTTTTCTCTGTGTGTTTCTCTTACAATACTCATCCGTATTACTTCCGCACCGTTTTCCATCCCAATTACATCCAAGAAAAGAAAAAAAAGAGAGGCCATCCCATCCTTCATCCGATTGGACGTGCCAATGCCAATGCTCTTCTCTCCAAGTATCAGAGTGGAACACGACAGCTGAGAATCCCAACAGCATGACCCAGTGGATCATCCTCACGCATGTTGTGCGTTGCGGTCCGCGTGCGAGCTTGCGAATGGCCCGCCAGAGACAAACTCGATGCTGGTGGCGGTCGATGGAACATGCTCAGTGACAAACCACAACCCTCTCGATACGTGGATGCGTGCCGCCCATAGCACCTCAAGCTACGAATACTCTACGGAGCACTGTCCTAATAAGAGACGCCAGAAGAAATATTAAAGACCATCACCACGCACATGGTACCCAAGCATGTGTGTAACGACGTTGCAACTTTACCGTTGCATTCGCATCCAATCCGGATCAGTGGTCGGCCGGCCGGCCATGAGCCCTGTGATTGGGATAGGAGCAAGTGCGCCTCCTGCCTGTCTTGTGAAGGCCGCGAGCTAACATAGATAGGTACAGAGAGCGATATAGATATACCGACTATGCCACTTGTGTCCAACTGCATAACAAGCCTTTTCTCACGACGACACAATTTGCACAACGACAACTAGGTGCAAGCGGAAGCCAATTCTTCGTACTCAGCAGTCAGCACCAAAAGACAAAGGGTCTTTTTGCCCTGCTTATATGATGCTCGCCGACCCTTCGCCGTCCTCGCCATGTTGGACCTGGTTTCCCTGACTCTCCAAACTGCCCTACGGCAGGGGGATTAATTATCCCCATCCAACGTGCAATCAGCGAGAGAGGTGCCAAAACCACGAACCCCCCACCAATGGCACTGAAGTCGACACGATATCCTGGTCACAACAGAATAGCCCAAGGAGTCCCGCTTCGCGCGCGCCCGGCGCATCCATCCCGAGCTCGGCCTGATGTAGCTTAGACTAGTTGTGGCGTCGTGGGCAGCGCGCAGTTAATCGAGCTTGCAGGGGTCTCGACGAACATCCAAATCAAACGCAGCATGCGGACGGACCGACAGAAGTGCCCGAGAACGAACCAACAATGCGGCTGTGTGAGTGGATGAGCAGACGCGGCGTCCGTCAATCTCAATCTTGCGTTCCTCCCGCCGCCGTGTCGAGATGACTGAGAGTCTGTCAATCCCATCAATGCTGTCTAAGCGGCAGGCATCGCGGCGGCAGCCAAATGTTTATTACCGCCGCCAACTCCATCCTTCTTCTTGTCCATGACCACAGTCACTCTCTCATTTTTATTCTCCATCTACGCAATATGGGTCTTGGACTTGAGTGAGAGAGACTCGAATGGGTGATGGATGATCTGTCACTCCCAAGATGCACCTTCAAGAAACCCCTGCCCCTCTATCCCTGCTCCTTTCACACCCCTGATCCCCTGAGCCCATGTTGAATGTCGTCACTCTCCACTATCAAGCTCCAGAAAGCACTGGCCAGCAAGCGCTTGACTCCTTTCGTCTCTATGCTCGCTGATAGGTGGATATGGCATGGCACAAAAACAACATAAAAACAGTGATACGGAGGGATACATGGTCTCTCTGGCCGCTTGTGCCGTCTCTGGCAACACAAACTAGACATGTTTACCCAAGAGGCATGATGCTTGCATTCCTTGCCGTAGCCCGACACCCTCTCAGCTGCCTTCAGCAGTTGTCTCTGTCTCTCACTCAAAATCTCTGCCTCTCCCCCTCATCCAGAACCTCCAGGCTTTGCCCCAAGAGCCCCCCCCAACTCCGATATGTACCCCCAAAACCCCCCGGCGCAACACCAGCTGAAGCCAAGCGCTGGAACAGCGACAAAGTTCTCCCCCACAGCGATGATCTCGTCGCTAAAACACCAGACACAAGCAAGGGTGGGCGCCTCCACGGATCCAATTTACACTGCCAACTTTGGAACATGCTATTTTGCTTTACCGCCCGCCCTCGCTCTCACTCATTCGCTCATTCCATCGGTGAGGGATGGATGGATAGATGGATACCTAATCGATGAGCCTCGAGTGAGGCAACACACTCACAGAACAACACACACACACCATGCCATGGTGAATACGATGTCGGAGATGCGCGCTGCAGCGTCATGTTTGAGCCTTGATTGCAGTCCAATTCCCGCGACTCCGGGGAATCCAAAAGCCTCAACGTGGTTGGACATTTCGACGTTTAAATCAACCCCTTCAATCTTGTTGCTTATCTTATTCCGCCCACTCTGTTGATTGTTCCCATGAAATGTCTGAGTCGTGAATGCATCCACCATCAGACACTAAACTCCACATTGACATTTGTTTTGCGGATATTCCACCTTTGCTTGTTCTTGTGTGCAGGTCGGCCACGTTTCGTCTGTCTCATCCTGCTTCTCGGTCTTTGGAGCACCTGTTGCTGTGCTGAGAATACTCCAAGTCGCCCGTACTCGCTCGCTCTCCTACTGAGGTAGTGACAACAGGTCTACCTCATCAGCATTTGGTTCTTCTCACATCCTTCAGGCCGGTTGCTACCGTCTCCTCGTCTTATCCTCATCCGGCACTGAAGTCCTGCT